GTTGCCGCCGGGCAGCTCTGGAGGGGCCGGCATTTTCCAGCATGAACCCGGCCTCCCAGTCCAGTGCACGGCCCCTGCGTGGGGGCAGAGCGTGTGCTAGCAAACCCCATGCCAGGGCGAAGGGAACCAAGGTTCAGTTTTGATGCCAGGAAGCACTTCCTGACAGTCGGGACCCTGAGGGCGTGGAACAGGCACGCACAGCAGCTCCTTTTCCCCTCAACCCATCTGCCACAGCTCCCCCCCCTTCCCTCATGGGCAAGCTGCTAGCGGGCTGCAGTCGTTCCCTCGCCTGCTTCGTATCCCCCTGCTCATCCCACAACATGCATCTACATGCATCACATGTGCGCGTGAGCCCAAATTCCACAGCAGGGGAAGGGTTTCTTTGTTCTCGAGAATAACTGGCTACCCGTGAATCGTTCCAGGTGGCCGCCTGGGCAGTCCTCGGCCGGCCCGTTCGCACACAGAGCATTAAAGGGTGGCACATAACGCACCTGACACTTCCCAGCAGGTCGCAGGGGCCGCCGATCTTTCCCACTTGCCTGCCAAAGAAGGTGCTCCAAAGGGGGGAGGAGGAGGAGGAGGAGGGTGGGCCGGGCCGGGCCGGTGGGACTTGCGCTCTGGGGGAGCTGCTGCTACCTGGCGGTGCCGAGGAGCCTTCTCTGGGCTGCCTCCGGGGCAGTGTCACTGCGTTTCCAGAATGCGCCCCGCTGATTTCTAGAGAAAAGGGCTTTTCTCGGGCCTGGTGATGCGCCCGTGATCGCAGGGTTGCGCCCGTGTAAGTGCTACCGACTGATTTGTGCATGAGACCCCGGGGGAGTTGGCGTCCCCCGTCAGGACGGCTTCACGGACCGGCTGTCCGTTTCTCGAGGGTTTCGTCTCCGTCCCCAGCCGGGCGCGGGGTCGAGAGCGGCGTCCAGCCGCCGCGCTCCTTCCGCGCTTCGGTCCGTGCGCAGCCGCCCAGGCCCTCCTCCCCGGGGCTTCCGCCGGGCGCGGGGAGCGGCGAAACCGAAAGCGCTCCCGGCCGCGCTGCGGGGAAGGCACGTGGCTGGCTGGCAGGAGCCGGGGCGCCGGGAGTGCTTTTCCCCCTGGAGGGGCGGCGGGGGGCCTGAAGCGGGATCCCCCCCTCCCCGCCCCCGCCGGTCTGCTGCTGCCGGGAAAAGAGGGGCGGGTAGCAGCCAGGCGGGACTTTCGCCCTGCCCTCCCTCCGTCCCTCCCTCGCTGCGTCACGTGGAGGAGGACCGGGGGAGGCGGGGGGGGGGGCTTTCTGGCACAAAACCACGTGCCTGTTGCAAATCCACGCCAGGGCAAGCGGCTAAGATAAGGGCGCATTCATTGGCGCGCCATATAAGCGCGGCTTTGTGTGCAGGCAGAGACGCACGGCGGGCGGGCAGCCCCTGCGGTTCCCGCGCTCCCGAGGCAGTCCGTGCGGGGTGCAGGCGTCCCGCGCCCGCTTCCGCGCAGAAGCGGGGGCACAGAGCGGGCGCGGCTTTCGGGGCAGATTGGTGCGGGACTCGGGCGGCTGAGGGAGGCTCGACCGGACGGAGGCACCACAAGCCGGGCGTGCCAAGGCCAGGTAAGGGAGCCTCCGACCTCGCACCGTGTGCCTTTCAGAGGGCCAGAGAATCGCAGAGCTGGAAGGGGCCGGAGGCCACCGGCCCCCCCCCCCCTGCCCCGAGCAAGGCCATCCCCTCGCCAGGAAGGCCACGGGTCTCCCGTTGGGGGAAGGCTGAGCCGAGGGAGGCGCGCGACACTGTCCTGGCCAGACATCTCCGGAAGAAGCCCTTTTGCTGTCCTTGTTCAGCGGGAACCTCCAATGCGGGAGCTCCGCTCCTCACGTCCCAGCCGAGTGGCGCTGGAAAGGGCCGGCGGGTCACTGGCCCAGCCGCCTGCCCAGTGCTGGGCTCCCAGTTACACCACCCCTCCCCAGTGGCTGCCCAGTGGCACCTGCACGCCTCCAGTGTGGGAGAGGCCAGCCGCTTAATCATTAATAAAAATGACGAGGAGGACCAGGCCCCAGACAACTCAGGGTGAAGTCCGTGTCTTGTATATCTCACCTATTGTCCCGGCAGAAGGCACAGAAACCTAGAAGTGAAGTGAGTCAGAAGGGAGTCCCCGGGCCATCTAGTCTGACCCCTGGCCCCAGCCAGCTCCACGCACGGCATCCCCAACACGTGGCTGCCCACCCTTCCCTTGGACACCCTCCCGGATGGGGCCGCCCCCCCCCCCCCGGAAGCCCATGCCGTCTCTCCCAATCCAGCTACCATTTTCGTGCCCCTGCACTGAACCGATTCTGACCTAGCTATGTCTCCCCTATAATATTTCACTGAAGGCAAAAATCCCCGCTAGTATTTTGTGAAAATCCAGGGCCCACTCTTCACTACGATCATGTAGACTGTTGTATGTTTCTGTCCGTTGGTTGACGCAACGGTGTTAGCCGAAGTTAAGGTAACGGCTCTGCCCTAAACTAGGCTTCCTCAGTGAGCCCACCCTGGCTGGGGGCCCCGGAAGCCAGTGGAACATGGGCCCTTCTCTGCCAGAGCCGGAGACAGCAGGGCTGGGGACGGGGCTTGTTCTCACCAACAGTGTGGGAGGAAGCCTTCGGAGGGGCTCCTTGCTTTTGGGGGGGTGGTCTGGCGGGCAGGTGCCCCTTCTCGGAGGTGCATTGTTCCCAAGACGGGCTGGCACAGTGGTCCTGCAGAGACGGTGAGGCGGTGGGCTTGGCCAGGGGGGACACATGGAACGAACGTGCGGCTGAAAATCCGGGCTGCTGTACTGGGAAAGTGGGAGGTTCCTCGATAATGAACTCAGGGGTTGACCCGTGGGACTGCGGACCCTGCCTGGGGAAAACGAGCGCCAGAAGGCGGCGGGGACTTAAGAAATTGCTGATCATGGGGGGGGGGGCAGGAAAAGGGATTGAGTGAAACCACCTTTTCTTTCGGGTGGGAAACGGCCATGCCAAAAATCTAGGAAAACTTGTGGTTAATCAAACTGCTGGGAAGATGGAGATGCTCTGAACAAAATCAGCACTTTTGAGAAGTGCAGAAGGAGCACACACATGCCTCCCCCGAGCATCAGCAGAGTGCTAGTGCCTCTGGGAGTTGTTCAAAGCTCACATTGCCAAGTGGGAAACAACTTTGTGGGGAGGTGATCGTTTTAAAACAGAAGACTCTTTTAATACTCTTGACCAGAGGTTAGGAAAAAACACAACCAACAACAACAACAACAACCCTGAATAACGTTTAAATTCATGTTTTGAATCCAACTGGTTATTCAAATACCGGGACTGAACGTTCGGTTCAGATAAGAAAAATGAAACTGTAAGCACAGAAGAATTCTTGCTTCATGTGAAGGTCAGGCTGAGAGTGTGTGGATGCAAGATGCATCGCCTTGCAGTTATTGGTGTGAGGAGTTGTGATGAAAAGAGTGGTTCAGTTGGTTAGTTTTACAGGGGGGAAAAATCCAAGTAACTTGGTGACCTTGGGTCAGTTCCTGAATTTCAGCTAGCCTACCTCGCAGGGCTGTTGTGAGAATCAGATGGTAGGCAGGAAGAAGATCGCCCAGGATGCCCAAGTTCTCTGGTGGCGAAAAGTGGGGAGATGACTGGAATGCGCAGATGAACCTGCTTCCTTGAAGGCGGTCCCTGAAGAACATCTCTTTGAGGAACCTGCTGCACACATCAAGAGCAAAGCTCTCTGTTTGAGGCAGGGCGCTAGTCCCCATGGAGGGCTCCTTGAGGGCTGCTCTCACTGGCCGCCTGCTTGGGCTGGCAGAAGTGGATTTGGGGTCCAGCTGGGGGTGTTCACAAGCACTTGGCGAAACCTCCGCCCTGTGAGTTTAGGGAGCAGCCCTCAAAGCCAATCTTCAGCAAAGAGTTTGGATCCTCTCTGGTTTGGATCCTCTCTGGTGGATGCCAAGGGGTTTCTGGGGGGGGGGAGCACTGTCTGAAAGCCCCAACCCCACCCAGCCCTCCCCCACGTGGAACAGGGCAAGCGCCGCAGCCAGGCAGGACGGAGGGAGGGAAAGGGCGGCCCGGGAAAGTGGAAGCAAAGCGGCCGCATTATGCTGAGCCGTTTGGCAGGGAGCAAAATGCCAGAGTCTTATTTCCATGCCGAAAGCAGAACCAACTGGGAGCAGAGTACAAAGGCCCCACTTCGGAGCCCCCCCCCCACCCTCGTCCAGCGGGGGGGTGGCAACACGCTTTCCCCTGCTGCTATTTTCATTCATGTGGTTTCCCGGAACGGAGGCACCCAAGACCCTTCGGTTTCGCTGCATCTGCGCTGGGCTGTGCTTTTTCCCCGCGTGGCCCTTGCCTTCCTCTGCTCCTGTCGGGAGGCCTGCGCAAGCCTGAGTGCCGGGGGGGGGGGGGGGGCCGGTGGGGGGGGTGGGGGGGGGGGGGCGCAGCTCTGGGCGCATGGAGTGGGGCTGCCCCAAAGCCTGGCTGTTGTCCCGGATGCTGGAGGCGCAGGCCAGCACTGCCAGCACATGGGGCACCCGATGACAGCAGCCGGGCCGGGGGGGTGCTGGGGTGAGGGGGCCTTCTTCCTGGCAGGGTCCTTCCACAAGCCCCCCCCCCCCCGGCACGCAGGGAACCTGGGCAGGGCGGCCGGGAAACCGCTCCGGCCAGGGTGCGGCCCTGGCTCGGTCCCGACGAGGGGCGGCAGGTTTGCAGCCGTTGCCGCCGGGCAGCTCTGGAGGGGCCGGCATTTTCCAGCATGAACGCGGCCTCCCAGTCCAGTGCACGGCCCCTGCGTGGGGGCAGAGCGTGTGCTAGCAAACCCTATGCCAGGGCGAAGGGAACCAAGGTTCAGTTCCGATGCCAGGAAGCACTTCCTGACAGTTGGGACCCCGAGGGCGTGGAATGGGCTTCCCCCGGCGGTGGTGGTGGCCCCATCGGTGCGGGTGTTCAAGGACAGGCTGGACGTCCACAGGGTGGGCATGTCATGCGTGGAGCCAGCTGGGGTGGGGGTCAGACTAGATGGCCTGGGAGGCCCCATCTGACTGTGCTGTGTTTCTGTGTTTCTAAAATGCATGTTGCAGCCTCAGCCTCTGTATCCTGGGCCGTGTTCGCTCTTTTGGGGGTGAGGCGCATGTGTCTGATTCCGTTTTGCATGTTGGGCCTCTGAGCGCAAGGCACACCCCCTTCACAGACTGGTTCCACCACATCCATCTGGCTCCAGCCCAGCATTCCAGCAGCCGTGCCAGATTCCTTGGCGGTCCTGCCGTGGGGATGCTGGGCAGAGCGGCAGGGCAGGGCAGGGCAGGGCAGGGCAGGGCAGGGCAGGGCAGGGCAGGGCGGGCAGCCCGAGGTTTGCATCATCACGGCTGGAGTGGGCTGGAGGGCCACCACGCCGCCCCTGCTCCCTGCGGGCTCCGAGTCCTGCCGCCCCTCTCGGATGGCTGCCCAGTCGTGTCTGGAATGCCTGCAGTGTAGGAATGCCCAGGACCTCCTCGGTGATTCCTTCCATCCGTTTAGTGACCTACCAGTCAGGAAATGTTTCCTGATACCTGCCCGGAATCTGGCTTCCTGTAACGGGAGCCAGTTAATCCGTGTCCTGCACTGGGGCATCAGCAAGAAGAGACCTTGACCTTCCCCTTTGTGACAGCCTTTCAGGTCCTTCTAGAGGGATGCCGTGTCCCCCCTCAGCCTTCCCTTCCCGAGGTTCTCTCGATCCTTCCTCGCAGGGCTCCATTTCCAGCCCCCAGATCATCCCGGCTACTCTCCTCCGACCCCTTGCCAGCTTGTCTGCATCCTTCTTAAACCGTGGTGCCCAGAACTGGACACAGCACTCCGGATGGGCCTGAGCAGGCCCAGAAAAGGGGAAAGAGGATGCGAAAGTGATGCTTCTATTCATGTAGCCTAAAATAGCATTTGTCTGTTTTGCAGCCACATCAGGCTGTTGTCTCATATCCAGCGAATGGTCTACAATTCCAAGCTCCTTCTCACTTGCACTATTGCTGAGTCAAGTGTCTTTCGTCTACGAGTTTGTCTTCCTTTTCCGAGGTACAGAAGCTGGCATTTGTCCCTCCGGAGTTTCCCCCTGTTGCTTTCCCTGCCTTGCTCCAGCCTTTCACGATCTCCTTGAACCCTCTTTCTGTCTTCCAGGGGATTGGCCGCCCCACCCACTTTTGTGCCATCTGTAAAAGTTTTCAGTGTTTCCGGCACTTCCTCCTCCGAGTCATTAATGAAAACGCTGAGGAGCACGGGGCCCAGGACTGGTCCCTGCTTGTTACCATTCCCCAGTTCGAGGAGGTGCCGCTGACGAGCGCTCTTTGCGTCCGATTCGGTAGCCCATTTTCAGCTAGTTTCCCGACCAGGAGATCCTGGGGCGCGTGGTCAAAAGCTGTGCTGAAGTTGGGGTAGATTCTGTCCAGGGCATTCCCACAGTCCTTCAGGGAGGCTCCCCAGTCGAACAATGACATCAGGTTGGTTTGGCAGGATCTGTGCTTGAGGAATGCGTGTGGGCATCTAGCAATCGCTCGTGTTTGCACGGCGTCTGCGGACTGACAGCCCTAGAATCTTCTTCCGGGTTTTCCCAGGGTGGCTGTCGGCTTATCCGAAGGGGCCTGGCTGTGCGCCCAGGGTGGCACCTCTGACGGCATGTGCTGTCCAGTGCGGACCCGCATCCATGCGTCCGGGCACGCACCACCTGTTGGCCTGGCGCGGGACGGTGGCGCACGGGGCCTCTGGAGGCGGGCGGCGAGGAAACAGGCAGAGGGGCCCGCGGAGGCCGGCCCAGCCACGGCCTGCTGGCACCCACAGCCACGGCGGCCTGGGCCCGGCAGCCCGCAACGGCCACCGAGGCGTCCTGCGGAGAGCGGCGAGACTTGTGGAGGTGCGGCAGACTGGGGCTTCTGCTTAGGGTCAGGGGCGGCGCTGTGCCATCGGCAGCCACGGCCTTGCGCGTCGCCACACTGAGTCCGTGGGACGGCGCGGGAGAACGGGGGCTGGCGCGGCTTCAGGACAGTCCCAGGCTGAGCCCTTGCTGGATGCAGCCGAGTTGGGAGTGCCTGTGTCGCCCCCCGCCCCGAGCTCCTCAGAAAGAGGAAGCCACGCAGCATCCAGAAGTCAGTCATGTGGGGAAACCGCACCGCTCCAGCGCACCGGGCGTCTGCGGAGCCCCGGCCAGCACCGCCCCTTCCCGCTCGGGCTCTAAATCTGGGCACCAGCGGGAACCTCGCCCCCCGGAGCGCAGCTCCGCAGGCCCCTTGCGAGGCCGGAGAGGCAGCAGGGGAGGTCGCGCGGCTGGGAAGCTGCAGTGGCGGGAAGGGCCCCCCCGGACCCCCACCCGGTGCACGAGGCAGGTACTGAGGGCTGCATGCTTGGCAGGAAGGGATGGGCGAGGTGCTTGGAGGCCAGTTCCTAGCAGCCCCAGCAGCCTGGCCGATGATGGGCACTGCCGTTCCACCTCGCCCCCCCAGGTCTCAGGCGGAGGGAGGCGGGGAGATGCCAGAGCCGCGCGCCCTCCCCGCCCGCCCGCCCGCCCGAGGCGGGAGGCGCCCGAGGACGGGCCGGGGCTGCTCCGGGGTCGCGCTTCGCCCGGGGTCGCGATGGGAGAGTCAGGCGCTCCCACGGGCGCACAGTCTGGCTGCTCCCCGAGCTGCGCTCGCGCGGAGCCTCCCCGGTCCGGCTTTGGGGGCGGCAGCCCAGCACTGGCCGGGCTGCCGTCCCCGCAGATCCGGTGGACCGAGGGCGCTCCGTGCTTGCCCGGCCCCCGCAGGCCCCCTGTGGCCGCAGCCCTTCCGGTGTGAGTCGCCCTGGGCAAGCGGGGGGGGGGGGCACAAGGCGTGCGGGGAGGCAGAGAGGCAACGTGTGGACGGGGCTTGAAGGGCAGCTGCCGATGCCCACCCTCCCCTCAGCACTTGCCGCAACAGCACCCGCATCCCCCGCTCTTCTGGCATTGCCGAAACCATTTTTCCTCCTGGAAGGAAAGAATCGTAGAATCGCAGAAGAGTCGAACTGGAAGGGGCCAGGAAGGCCATCCAGTCCACCCCCTGCTGTGGCAGGATGCCAGTTCACACCACCCCACTCAGAGGCTGTCGGGTTTCTTTCTGAGTGTCCCCAGTGTGGGGGAGCCCCCCCGTCTCCAGGCGGCTGGTCCCACTGTTGTCCTGCTCTGACTGTGAGGAAGCTCTTCCTGATGTCCTGCCTGAATCTGGGAGCGTGTTCTCCGGAGCGTCTGTGGGCTTGGGGGGGCCCTAGGCAGCTGTGGGGAAGGGGAGCCCCCCGCATGGGAGACTGCGCAGGGCAGGCAGGAGGGAGGGCCGCCCGCTCTTGCGCAACGCCGGGGAGCCCTCGAGGGGGACACGCTCCCTGGCAGCAGCTGCGGGGGTGACGGTCCGCCGCCCGTCTGAATTCCCTCCGCGCATTTGGGGAAAGTCCGCCCCGGCGGCCAGGCCCACACGGTTTTCCAGGGGACTCTTCCCCACAGCCCTGCTCTCCCCGGCGCTGCGCATTTAGGGTGCAGCCCCGCCAAGTGCCACGTCGCTTGGCCCACCGCCCCCAGTCTTCTCGTGGGAAAGCTGTTCTGCCCCGTTCGGGCCTGAGGGGCCTGGCTGGGGGGGTATCTCGGGCCCTTCTCCCCCCCCCCCCCACAGAGCCCTCCCGTCTCATCTCACTGTCCTTTCCCACAGGGAGGAGCCGGAGGGAGGCACCGCCGGGCCCGGCCATGGCTCGGTCCGATGACACGCTCGAGATGCCAGCGCTGGGCCGCCCCTTCCAGCTGGGGATGCTGTACGACTGCCGCAAGGACGCCCTCATCCCAGGTGGGGCCGGGAGCAGTGGGGGGCAGTGGGGGGCTGTCTGCAGCACAGGCCAGCGGAAGGGGCGGGGGCTGCCGAATGCCCCAACACCACTGTGAGGAGCAGCTGCATTGGCAAGGACCTTTCGCCCCCTACTTTAATTCCTGGGGGAAGGACCCGGACGGCTGCCCACGACCTGCACACGGTGTGCGGACGCTGCCCGGTGCTGCCGGGTTATGCGCTGGGGGTGAGCCAGGACACGCCTGGCATTTCCCCATGGATGTTCTGGCTGCCCAAGCAGGAATCCTGGCAGGGTGGGAGCTTGTGGGATTCTCCACCTTCGTTCCAGGTGGCCATGCAGGTGTGTTTTTTCCAGCGTAAGACGTCGCTTGCTCCGTCTTAATTAAGGCCAACCAAAGCCACTCACCCTGCACCAAAACCGTGCCGGGTCCCCTGCAGGATCTCCCAGGCAGACATTTCCTGGGCAGGCCTCTCTTTAGGGGAGGTGGGCTCCAGAAGAGGCGCATTCTGCCAGGAGCAGGCACAGTCGGCCCGTTGCCTTTGCTGGCCAAACAAGCGCTCGGGTTGTTGCAGAACTGAAAGGAGAAAAGACCAAACTGGGTGACGGGGGCGATCCAGGGATGTCCAAACGGCAGCCGTTCCGGCCAGTTCCTCTCTCTCGGGCCTTTTGCTTCCATCCTGGCATCTGCCTGCGCCAACAAAGTAACGCTTCGTGCATGCTTCCTTCCAGGGATCACCCTTTGGGACCTGCAGGCACTGCAGAAGGACCTGAGCATCCGGCCGCAGCCCAAGACTGAGTCGGAGGTCATCGCCTCGGACTCCATCGATGACAAGGCCTCCGCCCTCGGCGTCTCCGCGTCGCTCAAGGCCAGCTTCCTGGGGGGCCTGGTCGAGGTGGGGGGGTCCGCCAAGTACCTGCATGACTCCAAGACGTCCCGGCAGCAGGCCAGGGCCACCCTGCAGTACAGAGCGACCACCCGGTACGAGCAGCTGACCATGAGCCACCTGGGCGTCCAGAACGTCTCCTACCCGGCCGTCTTTGAGCACGGCACGGCCACCCACGTCGTCACCGCCGTCCTGTACGGCGCCCAGGCCTTCTTCGTGTTCGATCGAGAAGCCTCTTCTTCTGAGACAGTGCAAGATCTGCAAGGAGGCCTCCAGGTTATGATTGGAAAGTTCATATCTATCAAGGGGGAAGCAGAAATTGAGATGAATGAGAAGGAAAAATCCTATACTGAGAACTTCAAGTGCAAGTTCCATGGAGATTTTTCTCTGGACAAAAATCCAGTGAGTTTCGAGGATGCCATTCGAGTGTATGCCAGCCTGCCCAAAATGTTAGGGGATGATGGGAAGAGGGCTGTGCCCGTGCGGGTCTGGCTGTACCCGCTGACCAAGCTGGACTCCAGAGCGGCCAAGTTGGTGCGCGACATCAGCCTCTCCCTGATCTTTGATGCCCAAGCATTGATGGAGCAGCTGAACGAGGTCAAGATGAGATGCAACGACCTGGCAAGGAGCCCCGTGACCGACGCCTTCCCAGAAGTCAAGAGGAAAATCAAGCAGTTTGAGGATCTGTGCAAGCAGCACCGGCAGACCTTCCAGAAGCAGCTGGCAAGCGTCTTGCCTTCCATCCGAGGAGGCGGGAAAGAGGAAGGGGCCCTGGCAGACATCCTGGCCTCCATTGGCCACTCCCCTTTCAACAGCCAACGACTCGGGGAGTTTCTGGACGCCAAGGAGCGAGAGATCAGTTTCGTGAAGTCATACCTCGCGATCCTCAGTGGGGTGGAGGTCATCTCCTCCCGGAACAAGCTGGAAGAGGTAGTGCTGGACCCCCAGAACGAGTTTGTCATCTCCTTTACCTTCACTTCCCTGCATGACGAGGAGCCGTTTCTGTCCCAACTGCAGCGCTGGCTCCAAAGGGCGTTTCAGCAGCCGGGGGACGATCCGGGAGCCGGCGCGGCTGCCCCAGGGGCGGGCAAGGCCTGGTTTGAGCACAAAGAGAAAGTGCAAAAGGCTCGGAAAGCTGCCAAATCCATTTCAGACTTTGCCCGTGTGAACAGCGCCAGTGGGACGACTCGCTTTGTCGTGGCCTCCGTCCCTGACGGGGAGCACCCCGGAGCTTCCATCTACCTGTATGAAGAGGGGGAGCTCATCAGCAGCTGCCTTGAGCTGCCCCCCAAGCCTCTCCCTCCCCTCCTCGGGGCGGTCGGGCACGAGAGCGTGCAGCTGACCTTCCAGCCGGCCGCGTACGGGAGGGCTTCCATCTCCGGCTACCGGGTAGAGTACAAGGTCACGGGAGAAGAAGGCTGGGGGGCTGCGAGCACGGAGGACGGACGGGAGACATTCCTCCTGGAAGGCCTGAGCCCGAACACAGAGTACCAGCTCCGATACGCCGCCAGGAGCAAGCCGGGCCTCAGCGTGAGCAGCGACCCGAGTGCACCGGTGAGGACGCTTCCCACCAGCCCTCCCGGGAAGCCCAGAGAGGTCACCGCAGAGCCGTCCCTCATCTCCGTGGCCTGGGAGAGTCCCAGCGCCGTCGGCGTGGGGGCCGTTATACAGGAGTACAAAGTGGAGTACAGGGAGGGGGCTGGGGAGAAGAGTCGCGAGGCCAAAGGGGGGTGGAAGGAGAAGAGGACGGCAGGGAAGACGGAAGTCTGTGAAATTGGCCAGCTGAAGCCGCAGACACGCTACAGGGTCCGGGTGTCGGCCGTGTGTGCCGACGGGGCTCAGAGTGCTCCCAGCGAAGAGGTGGAGGTGCTCACATCCCCGGAAGAAGGAAGGGAGTCCAGACTGGCCCGCGCATTCCTCCCGAAGAGCACCCTGCTGGAGAAGGGGCCGCCCTCCGTGTACGCCCTTCCTCTGCAGAAGGCCACGGCCGGTGCCACCAGGTCCTGTGTGACGTACCAGCTGGGTGAAGCGAGCTCGCAGGTCCCCAACAAGGTGATCATGGTGATGGGGGCCACGGGGTCAGGGAAGACCACCCTCATCAACGGCATGGTCAACTACATCCTGGGCGTGCAGTGGGGAGACGACTTCCGGTTCAAGCTGATCCACGAAGAGACCCACAGAAGCCAAGCCGAGAGCCAGACCTCGGAAGTGACGGCCTACGTGCTGAACCACCAGAGGGGCTTCCAGGTCCCCTATTCCCTCACCGTCATCGACACGCCGGGGTTTGGGGACACGAGAGGAATCGCGCATGACAAATTGATCACGGAGCAGATCCAGGAGTTCTTCTCCACCCCGGGGGGAGCAGATCACATAGACGCCATCTGCATCGTGGTCCAGGCTTCCTTTGCCCGTTTGACTCATGCCCAGAAATACGTGTTCGACTCGGTGCTCTCCATTTTCGGGAAAGATATCAAGGACAACATTCAAGTCCTCATCACGTTTGCAGATGGGCAGACCCCTCCTGTCCTGGAGGCCATCAAGAAGGCCGATGTGCCGTGCGCCAAAGATGCCAGAGGAGTCCCCATTCACTTCAAGTTCAATAATTCGGCCCTGTTTGCCCACGGCCGCAGCGCAAGTGGGAACAGCTTTAATTTTGACGAAATGTTCTGGAAGATGGGCACTATGAGCATGAAGACCTTCTTCGACTCATCGGCCAGGCTGGAAATGAGAAGCCTGACCTTGACGAAGGAAGTGCTCCGGGAACGGAAAGAGCTCGAAATCGCCGTGGAGGGGCTGCAGCCCCAGATCCAGGCCGGCCTGGTGAAGCTGGAGGAGCTGCGGAAGACGCAGAATGCCCTGGAGCAGCACAAGGGAGACATGGAGGCCACCCAGGACTTTGAGTACGAGGTGGAAAAGACTGTTCCGCACAAGCAGGACATCTCTGGGAGTGGGAACTACATCACGAATTGCATGCAGTGCTACTTCACCTGCCACTATCCCTGCGGGATCCCGAGGGATGAGGACAAGGCTGGGTGTGCCGCCATCAGCCAGAGTACCGGGAGGTGCAACGTCTGTCCCGGCCAGTGCCCGTGGAACGTGCACTTCAACCAGAAATACCGGTTTGAGTATATAACGGTGAAGGAGAAAAAGAACTTTGAGGACCTGAAGAAGAAGTACGAGCAGGCCTCCGGCGAGGTGATGAATGCGGAGAGGATGCTGGAGCATCTTCACGAGGAGTATGACGTGGTGAAGCACACGCTGGAGCGCCTCATCCAGAAGACCGTGCAGAGCCTCCGGCGCCTGCAGGCCATCGCGCTGAAGCCCAACCCGCTCTCCACGCCCGAGTACATCGACCTGCTCATCATGTCCGAGGAGCAGGAGCTGAAGCCCGGCTACCAGGAAAGGATCCGCTCGCTGAGGGACGTGCGGAAAGTGGCTGAGCTCATCCAGAAGATCGCCAAGAAGGAGACCCTGCTGCCCGGAGAGCAGGACCTGTACCAGAAGCTGAGGCAAAAAGAGTCTTCCTCCCTGGGCCAGAAACTTAAGAAGGGGATGGCGGCCATTGCCAGCTGGTGGTGATGAAGCTGCGCGCCGGCCCGTTTTGCGGCGGCGGCGGCTTTGGGCGGCCTGCGAGTGCAGTCCGGGGCCAGGAATGGCAGCCCTGCAGCGCGATCGGCGCTTGAGCCTGCTGCTGAGCAGAAAGCGCCTCCCGCCACTGCGTGCAAACGCCGGCACTCCTGCCCGCACACCTGCGCACACGCAGGGCCCGCTCCTGGGGCAGCCTGGACGTCCGGAAGCCTCCCCGGGCTGCTCTCGGAATGGTGCTCCAGCCGCAGGACTGCAGCACCCCCTCCAAGAGCAGCTGCTTGCGCTTCCCTTCCGTGTCTCCTTTTCGTCTGCCAGTGCAGCTGCAGCGCCGGCTGTTGCTGGGAGGCCCCAGGCAGGGCTCGGGGTCTGCCTGCAACCCGCGGACCACCCCCTTTGCACCCCGTCCCATGGGAACCCGGTGATGCGCATGCAGCCCTTGGAAAAGGGAGCAAGCCCCCCATGCTTCCTGTTTAGCAAACAATGTGAGAAACACTCGCCCTGCTTCACCGCTTCCCTCCTCCGTCTGGGCCTAGCACCCATTTTTCTCAAAATGCAGGCCCTGCTTCTCCAGACCGAGTTTCAGAATTGGCATCCCTGCTTTGCTGAGCTGCTCTCCCGGCCGCCTTCCTGCTTTTCACGTTTCCGGGGATTGGCCGCCTCGGGGCGTCCATTGCAACCGCAGCACAACTGTCCCCCATTTTGCACAGCGCTGGTTTTTCTCACGGCTCGGGGACTTCTGACCCCCTCCCACTGCCTGCCCCACCCTGTGCCCCCGCCTGCCCTGCGGAAGCCCCCCCCCCCCGCTGCTCCGCCCGCCCTCATTGTGGCCGTAGAGGCGCCTGGCGTCTCTGGGGTGGCAGAGCAGCTTTTGAACCGAACCTGAAGAAAGCCGAGGGGAAGTGGCGAGACTCCGGTTCTGCTGGAGTCGCCCTCGTGAAGGAAGGGAAACTGGTTGGACCGGGGTGGAAATAGGCCCTTGCTGGCCACTCAGCTGGGCCAAATGGCCCCTGGGGAAAAGGTACGGAGGGGCCTGGAGGGGCCCCCACCTGCGGCCGCTGATGTGGCACAGGTGGCAGCCCCGAGCCCGGGTGGGACATCCGGAGTGTTTGGCTCGGAAGGAGAGCATAGAGCCGTGGGCATTCGGAGAACCAGGTGGGAAGCAAGGAGCCCGTGGGATGCGGTCACGTTGGGCGCCAACTCGAGACTATCCAGCCCGTCGTATGGAGGGCGGGCAGGGCGTGCCAGGGCACGTCAAAGAGGCATGCCAGCATATGGGCCCGAAGCCTCAAAAGGGCAGCCCCCTTCACGGAGGCACCGGGGAGATGCCGGCCAAGTGCTTTGGCAAGCGGAAGATGGGGAAGGAATGCAGGGGGCACCCGCAGGAGAAACTCGTGGGTGGCTTTGATTCCTCAGACATGGGCTGGATGTAAGCCGCGTCCCCGTCGTGAGGAGGAGGCAAAATGCCCCGATTCCGTCCGGGCCATTGCCCTGGAAGAGCCGGCAGGTCTCCCGGGGGTGTGGGAGGAGGGCGCCTGGGTGGCCGCACCCGGCCCTGACCTTCCGCCGGGGAGCAAGCGCACTGGCGCTGCAGCAGGGGCCAGGACGGGCTTCTCCGGCCGAGCCGCTCTTGGCCGCTCTGGCCCAGCTGCTGGGTGCAGCGTCACTGCGGTCCCGCTTGAAGTCTGTGGCGCATTGCTCTTCTTGTCAGATGCTTGGCTTCCTTTCTTACGAGCAAGGGGGATACACTGCTACTCCGGCATCTATGCTGGTCTGGCCATTGCACCCTGGATAGAAATATAGGCAGACGCCTGTACAAAGCTGCGGAGGACCAGGTCCTCCTGTCCCGAGGAAGCTCTCTGCGAAGGAGCCAAAGGCCGGCGGAGGCAGCCCTTTTGAAGAATCTGTGCCTGGAAGCTGCTCGCCGCCAGGGGCCCACCCAAGCCAGATCGCCACCCAGGGGAAGGAGGCCAGGCCTGCTTCCGCCCTCCAGAGGGGGAGGGTTGGGGCCACTGCAGATGTCCAGTGCCCACCATGGGGACAGGATGCTGGACAGCGGGACCAACTGCAAGGTCTCAGAAAATTGGCAGAGTATTTTATAACCTCCTAATGCGTAGGCGTTGAAGACATTATGATGACAATCTGATGTCAGCATTTACAGAACAGTAATGCCAATCGGCCAGACATGCATGTTACGATAAGATGGAAAATATTGGAGCCGGGGGTCAGACTACATGGCCCACAAGACCCCTTCTGACTCGCTCTATTTCTCTGTTTCTATTTCTGATTATAATCTATTGATACTTTGACTGAGTAAATTGCTGAAGCTTAAACTGATCTCCTTGTCTGTTTAAACCTGTAAATGTGGGCTGTTGAGAAACCATTCATGAACACATGACCTCAGCTACCACGCTCTACTGGCAGGAGGGCTTTGAACCTGAGGAAGAAACTTGCAGCCCTCTGCTTGGCTGCAACGCATGAAGTGCACTGGTCTAGTGAACTGGATACTTCTTGGTACACTGTGAATTCCTGCAGGGATTATGCAGCAACATTGTGACAGTGAGTTATTTTATATCACTAGAGTGTGGCTGAATAGAAAACGGGAATTTCCTTATCTAAAGACACGGGGGGGGGGGCAGCTTCTGTCTGCTTCTCGAAATGGATTCCAGGATCACACTGCACTTTCCCGCTAAAGGCACCACACACCTTTTAACCTTCAATATGATTTATTTGGACCTCTGCTCCAAGAGCACCCTTCCAGAACCTGGTGCCTCTGGGTGCTCTGGACGCCAGAGCCCACCCATCCCCACCCACACGGCGATGGCCAGATGCACTGGAAGCGGAAATCCCAGGCACCTGGAGAGAACAGGCAAGGTGCCACTGCCGGGGATGATGGGGCTCTCCTCACACTTCTCTCCTGGCAGAGAACGGGGCGGGTGCACCTGGCATCTCCTTGCAGCGTCATGCTTCATCCCACATGTTGGGGTCACTGGCCTTCCTCGGCTCCCATTCGGGTGTGTTATTTACACATGAGTAGACCTACCATCTAGTCCTTCCAGGACATTGTCAAAAAACATGTCCCAGCTTCCAGCCTCCAGCCTTGGACAATTTGCCTTCTATGGACCAAAACGTGCGTGGAGCGACCGAATGGCACTACCTTTGCATGAGAACAGTTTTGCGGGGTGTGCTTACACCCCAGAGAGAGGCGCGAATGAGGCTGCTCTCAGAGCCCCTCGTCCTCTCCTGCAAGCCCAGCATATGGGCTCAGCGCTGCAGCAAGCTGAGGGACGGCTTTCGCATGCTGCTGGGAGCCAAGCGGCGCTCTGCGGGTCGCCCGCTCTGGCAGTGCGGGCTGCCTGGCGCCGAGTGCTGTGGGAAGTCTCCTCCTGAAGCGGGCCACCTGCTGCAGCCAGCAGCCCCTCAGAGGCTGGTTCCAGGCTCCCAGGGAGCCCGGCCACCCAGGGGCTTCCCACTGGCGGTGCCTTGCGTCATGCAGGCTGAAGGCCCCCGGACCAGCGCAAAGGAGGCAGCTGCCATCCTGCCCCACCCCAGGGGACCCATGAGCAGCGGCCCCACCTGAGGCCAGGCACAGCGGCGCCCCACGCCCCTGCCAGGCCCCGCCGGAAGAGCTGCAGCTGCCTCGGCCTGGAGCGTCCCGGCCTGGCCCGGTCACACCCAGATCCCGCAGCTGCCGGGGCCACAATCCCGCCCTTGAATCCTGCCAGCCAAGTCGCCAAGGAGGCAGCACGCAGCCACCGCGTCCCTGACCCTGGCGGAGGGCCTGGTTCTGCCCAGGTGGGCACAGCTGCCCCTGGCAAACGTGGCTGGTGCAGGTGGGGCCACCGACACACGCTCGGACCGGAGGGCAGTCCTCCAGAGTGGCCTCGCCCCGCCTCCTCCAGGGCACCGGCGGCTGCCCACTGGGCCCCGTTGGCTGGCCCCTCCCTCAGTCTCCCCCCAACCTCCCCACGCGCTCCGGGAGGCGTGGGCAGCACCCACGCAAGAGCTTTGCTCACCTGCCCGGCTCCAGAGCTGAAATGGACCGGATCGGATCGTGCAGAAGGAGCGGCCTCAGCACAAGGGGTGGGGGGCCGCCGACCGCTGCCGGGGTGTCCTGGTCCAGCGGCCCACGAGAACGAATGCTCGATCCCCGGGGAGACGCCGTCACCTCGCCCCTCGGCGGTTTCGTGGATGAGAAACACCCGGGAAGGTCCCTCTGCAGGGACAGACCTCTACAGCGGCGCTGCTGCATGCCTTGCCTTGGCGGGGGGGGGGCCCTGCAGGTGCAGCTGGGGG